TTACCACAGTTAAAATGTGGTAAACTCTGCTTTATGTGTCGGAGTTTGGAAAATGTTACAACTCATTTAGCTTTGGATTGGTTATTTGCTGACACGCCTACTGGATTGATTCACAGGTCGTGTCGTGGATCCGACTCGTGAAAAAAAAATTAATGACAGCTATAAAAAAAGTATTGTACGACTTTATTCTCGTAATATTAACACTTTATTTGACTTTATTCGACTTTATTCTACTTTATTCTCGTAATACTCCGGCTTTATTCTCGTACTTTTATGGCTTTTATTTTTTTCACCTTAGCGTGGCAATGTAATTATTATTTATTTTTATTTTTTTGCAGGGCCCTAAAGCTTCGTCGTATTAATAAGGGTGCTTCCGTTTTAATTCATCGGCACCTGCAAGCATAGTTGACCACACAGAGATGCTATTGTCATCCCTTTGTTTTCTAAAATCTTTTTCTGTTGCTCTTAATCCTTCTTGTGGATTCAGCAGATCAATGTCAGTATGAAATCAGGGCTATCGTCCCTGTCACCCCAGGTGCCATGTCCCCTCACACCTCTATCAGCAAGCACAGCATTTCTTGTCGTTCACCTGCTGGATTGACCTGTGTATGTTTGTGTGTCGCAGTGTGTGAATACATGAGTAATAGCCTCGACTCAGTTCTCTCTATACGAGCAGAAAGACAACTGCTGCATTTTTTTTCTTTCTTTCTGTTTTGGCCATTTTTCTTGCCACTTGTGTCGAACACTGAGCTCCTGTCCCAACTGTGATCTCTATCAGCCCTGATTTATCTGGAACACAATCTACCTTCATTTCTTTTTGCTGGTGGGTTTTCCTCTCTCTTTGTTTAAGTGTTTTGTTTTTTGTTGTTGTTTTTTTTTTTTTTTGGGGGGGGGGGGGATTGTGTATGTGTGTGTGTGTTTGGGAGTTTTTTTGTCCATTTTTCCGTATCCTTTTTCATAATCATTCACCTTATTAACCAGACAGAGTGAATGTGAATGGTTTACTGTATTTCCTTACTTATACACCTTCCCTCTTTTTGGTAGCTCAAGGGTGAAAGTAATAAAAAATATTGAGCAAATGTATGTCCAAGTGTAAAACGTTTCCAAAAGAGAAAGCAAATGTGATAATCAGTGTTGAGATTTCTGCAAAGAAACGAGAATCCACAACCAGTAGTGGGGCTAATACGTATCAAGGTTCAAGGTTTTTTTATTGTCATTCGCATCACGTTTGGTACATGAGGTGGAACGAAATTGTGTACTCAAGGTCCCATTAACACCAAAAATAGCAAAAATATAAAGTATAAAAAAGAAACAGTATACACGGATCTAAGATATATGCTAAACAATAATAATATTATATAATACAGTGTATTAAACAGCAGTCTGATCATGAGTCTGCTGTGAGCATATAGGTATGAATACAGCAGCTTATGGGTAAGAATCAGCAGCACAGATAAAGTGTCAATGTCCAAGTAAAGTGTCATTACAGTGATCCTGGTTTGATATCCATGAGTCTAACAGCTTCAGGTTTCTCAGTTTAGTGGTTCTACACTTAATGCTCCACAACCTTCTGCCTGAGGGGAGCGGGGCAAAAAATGTTTGTGCTGGGTGAGTGGGGTCCTTCATTATGCAGTTGGCCCTCTTCCTGCATCTGGAGGTGTAGATGTCTGTGATGGTGGGGAGACTGACTCCAACAGTCTTCTGTGCAGCTTTCACCACTCTCTGCAAAGCTTTTTTTTCTGCAACTGTGCAGCCTCCATGCCACACGTTGATGCTGGAGCACAGGATGCTCTCCACTGCACACCTGTAGAAGGAGGTGAGGACTGAGCTTCCCAGACCAGTTCGCCTCAGCTGTCTGAGGACGTAGAGTCTCTGATGAGCTTTCTTGATCTGACTGACAGTGTTGTTGTCCGAGCTGAGGTTGTCATTCAGGTGCACACCCAAGTACTTGTAGCTGGAGACCACTTCCTCTGCTGATCCTCCTATGTTCAGGGGTGGTGGGGGCAGAGTAGGTGTGTTTGTTCTGTCTGAAATCCACAATCATCTCCTTTGTCTCATTTACATTGATGTGAAGGTTGTTCTTCCTGCACCAGCTCTCCTGGTGTTCCACCTCCTACCTGTAGCTGGACTCATCGTTGTTTGTTGTTCAGTGTTATTTATTGCGAGTTCAGTAATCTGACAGCTTGTGGACAATAACTGTCTTTGAGTCTTTTCGTGCGTGATCGCAGACTCCTGTATTGTCTACCTGAGAGTATTAGATGGAAGAGTCCTTGTGCTGGGTGGGTGTGGTCTTTAATGATTCTGCATGCTTTACGCAGACATCGGCTGTGGTAGATGCCCTGGATGGTGTGGAGACTGCTACCAGTGATGTCCTCTGCTGTTTGCACCACCCTCTGTAGAGCTTTCCAGCTCTGACTTGTGCAGTTCATGTACCACCCTGTGATGCAGGCAAAACTAAATGTTAAACAGCCTGTTTAAATACACCAAAATGCAGGAAATGGCATCTACTTTATTCAAAAATTTCTGGGGAGGACCACCAGACCTCCCCACTAGTGTGTACACCCCACTTTACAAATGTTTCTGACAGTCTGCTACTACTGTTACTTTATTTATTTTATTATTCTTAGGAAATGTGTGTGCAGAGGCACATTCCTGCTGC